CAAGGGAGAAAGACAAAGCTTTCGACTTGAATGGAGTTATAGTCTAGGAAACCCACAGAGGCTGTTTTACCTCGTCCTATAGGGCTGCTACGAGCCAGCATAGACGCGATGGTAGTGAGTTTGGTTGTTGGTTTGGTGGAAAGAGATGATGGAGAAGGTCACCATCAGCAGCTAACACAAGGCCAATGGCTGACTGTGGACCAGACCTTCAATTACTCACATAAATTCAGGTTGAAGCTGCAGAAAACTGAAACAAGTCCGCAACCTTGAGTATATCCCACCTGAATCTGAGAACATCTCAAGAACATATTTGATTAAAAACTAATGACAGAAAACCTGATGAGATCAGAAACATCATATGTGAAGAAAGCAAAAAGGTCTTTCAAAAGACAGGAAAGAAAAGATCAGAGTGGATCTCAGAAGAGACTCTAAAACTTGCTCTTAATCGTAGAGTAGCTAAAGCAAATGGAAGCAATGATGAAGTCCAAGAGCTGAACAGAACGTTTCAGAGGGCAGCTGGAGAAGAAAGTAAAATATTACAATAAAATGTGAAAGGACTTAGAGTTGGAAAGCCAAAAGGGAAAACGTACTCAGCATATATCAACGGAAAGAAGTCAAGAAAAATTCAACCCTTGAGATGTAATACTGGAAGAGTCTCAGGGCAAAATATTGAATGGTGCAGGAAGCATCAAAAGAAGATGTAAAGAATCCACAGAGTCATTGTACCAAAAAGAACTAGTTGCCATCCCACCATTTCAAAAGGTAGCATAGGAGCAAGAACCAGTGGTGCTATAGGGAGGCCGCCAAGCGACACTGAAAGCATTTGCCCCCAAACAAGGCTCCAGGAAGTGGTGGCATTCCAAGTGAAATGCTTCCACAGCTGATGAGGCCCTGGAAGCACTGAGGCTATTGTATTTTCAATCCCTTCCTATGTATGTGAAAGCCAGACATCGAAGAAAGAAGAAAGAACGAGAATCAGTTATTTTAACTATGGTGTCGGTCAAGAATATGGCCAAAAGGACACACAAATCGATCTTGGAAGCAGCCCATCCAGAACGGTCCTCAGAGGCAAGGACGGCGAGACTTGGTCTCATGAACGCTGGAAGTGTTCACAGGAGAGACCAGTCCCCGGAGAAGGACATCATGTTTGGTAGAGTGGTGGGGCGGTGAGAAAAGAGGAAGCAGGCCTTGGGCAGGACAGATTGCCACTGTGGCTGCAACAACGGGTTCCAACGGAAGAATAGTTGCGCAGATGGTGCGGGACTGGGCAGTGTTTCATTCTGCTGTACACAGTGTCACTATGAATCGGCACGACTCGGCAGCACCTAGCAATAACGTGCCAGAAGTTACAAGCCTATTTAGGAATGGGATGTCTTTGTTATGTTAGTTAGGCAGGGTTAGTGTGGGGGTGTGTCTGGAGTTGATTTCTTTTGAGATATAAAAGAGTTTAAACAGACAAGGGTACTGGCAGAGATGGAGGCTCATAGAAACCTCCCCACATGAAGATCACCCAGGAGCAGAAGTTCAAAAGGGACAAGATCCATCCTTCGGAGCTGACAGAGAGGAAGTCTGCTCCTAGTGCCAGCACCCTGACTTCAGACTTCCAGCCTCTTCACCTGAGAGAAAATAAATTGCTGTTTGTGGAAGACGCCCATTAGTAGTATCTGTGCTCTAGCAGCACCAGAGAAAGAAGATCCCATTCGCCCATCAAGAGTGCTCAGAAATGACGGGTCCCTCTGCTGTGTCAGTCAACCAGCAAACATGGTATAATGTCTCCAGGGACCAGAGACTTGGGTCTTCTTACAGCGCTTCTCAACCTGTGGGTCGTAACCCCTTTGGGGTTCCAACGACCCTTTCACAGGGGTCGCCCGATTCATAACAGTAGCAAAATGACAGTTATGAAGTAGTAATGAAAATAATTTTATGGTTGGGGGGTCACCACAACATGAACTGTATGAAAGGGTTGTGGCATGAGGAAGGTTGAGAACCACTGTTCTATAATCATCGTGAAAGAGGTAACTCCCTCCTAGGGCAACAATTTCAATCTCATCGTTGCACAAGCGTCAGATCATAGTACCAGGGCACGCAACAGACCTTGCCACTCTTGCACCCCCCACTCCCTGCTCCCCCTCCTACCCACCCCCCTCCCGCCTCCGATGCAGAGCACAGTGACTGCTACCTCACTGTTACAGGCTGTAACGGCCTCCTTGTTTGTCAGGCTCCATGCCCATAGCATGCGGAGCAGTTGAGAACACCATTTCTTTGATGGTCCTCTGGAGAAGAAATCACTTTTGCAGAATGCCTTGCTTTTCCATTGATGCCGAAAAATCTTATCCAGACCACTGCCAACAAGTGTTTATTATGCCACACATGATTTGTACGCTACACACTTTCTCGGAAGTTGCTTACATAGTCAATCATCTATCTTCTTCTCAAGAACATAGGAGTCCCTTGTATACATTTAAAAAAAGAAAAAGATAACCCAGTGAAAGAAGTGTGCCACAGAGCAGCGCGGAGGCAGCATGGTGAAATGGCAAGCAAGTTGGATGAACCAATCAGCAGGCTGGGGCTGGAGGCTGCGGGCAGCTCCCAGCACCTCTCTGAGCATCAGCTTTCCCTCCGAGGTGGTCAGGGCTCTTCCTCTATGGCTTCCTTGACTGTGGGAAGTCAGGAGGAGCACAGTTGGCTCCTGCCTCCTTCAGGCTCCCAGAGAACTCCATTATTACTTCCACGAGGCACCTTTCATCGATTTCTTTTTAACCATGTACCTTTCTCCGAGTAAACGGTCCAGGTCGCTACCACCTCCATGAGGCTAGGCGATGCTTCAGAGAACGGCCACGTCTCAGTCGGTGACACAAAACAGTGGCTGACTCCCCTTTAGCAGGAAAACAGACAGATATCTTTGCTGCTTACGGTTTTCTTCCCATAGACCTGTCCTACACTTGTGGATTTAACATGTCCCACATTCAGTCATCTCAGTGGACCAACTCAATGATTTCCTTGGGTCCTGTGACTGGTGGCTCCACATTCTTGGCAAGCTGGAGCGGAACCCCGTGGACCGTGGACTCGCTCTCTGTGAGTACTGCAACATCCAAGTCCAGACACGTGCTTGTGAAGCCCATGGACAGTTTTTTTTTCATCCTAAGTTCTCGCCACTTCAGTACCCCATACAGTATTTCCAGGCGTTTACCAAGCAGACAAAGTCCTGGATAGGCATCATTGCTTGATGAAATCTCATATTATTGGTAAATGGGACAATGTCATCGACTATCAGACTCCTATCATTTGCGTGAAAAGGCTGAGTTTCTTTGGCTCTTTGTTCATTCAAGTGCATGGCATGCCTGCTTGGATAAACTTAGGCATTGTGTTCATCTGTCAATCAAATCTTGCACTGTCCACAGTGTTTTGCAAGCTGATTTGAGTTTTGGACTAAAACAATTGGTCATTGGTAGAAATATACCATATGTACACATGGAAATTACAAAAATACATTTTATTTATAGCTGATTTTTTTTAAGTAACAAAAACTAACACTATGAAAGATCGAACAGCATACCAAAAGGACACTACCTAATATCATCTGAACAAGAGATGCGGTTGGGATTTCCATGACACATCATCTCCAGTCCTTTCCAAAAGGGGCAGTTTGCCACTGCAAAAGAAAAGAGCTCAGAAGTCTGGGCGTCAACAGTTCGAGTCTCCCATTCAAATCAGTTCCATCTCTACTCTTCTCTCCGTGGGAAGTTCCCACCTTCTTCTCTCAGTAAAGACCAAAGAAACTCAGGAGAGTGGAGAGATGAGTGCAGAAGGTGATGGGCCCAGCAGAAGCTAAAATGGATTATGGGGTGAAGGTAGGACAGGACCTTATTCTCCAGCAGACACCAAGGAAGCCCCAACACAGCCCACGGCCCCCAAAATTCCTTCTCTCTTTGCCACCAAAGTGGCTGGTGGTTTGCTTTGCTTTGCTGGGTGGTGAACCGTTGGTGCCTTCCATGCTGCATGGTTAACTCCATTGTCTAGTGCTCTGAAAGCCCATTCCCATGCCAGGGAGGATGGTTTTCAAGATCCTGGTTGCAAGGTTGGCTACCCAGTTATCTCAGCAAGTGTCTTCCGCATCCAGTTACTATGGGGATCTGGCTAAATCCATAGACTGGAAAAGGCTATTTACATTTAGACCTAAACCAAGAGACTTTTCTAGCTTCCTAAGCTCTGTACACACTGACTTCCGCCTGGGGAAAAGCAGACCCCATCCCACTGCGGTCTCCAACCGGCGTCACTGCTTCCTTCTGGAGCACCTGGCAGCACAGAGCTGGGCAGCCCTGTTGAAGAGAGTGATTTCCTTGTCCAAGTTGATGTGTCCATCATTCCAGAGAAGAGGGCTGCGTGGATCAGGCCACCTTCAATGCACAGCACATGTGCGTCCACACCTGGCTGCTTTTTCTTTTGTCGGAACCTAAAAGCTCTTAGCATCGGTTCCCTTTCGGACAGAGCCAGTTTGCGCGGTACTCGGTTTCCAAAATGACACCACCTTTCAAGAGCCATCCACACAAACCCACCAGCCCTTTCTCATCTTCTCTCCTGCTTGGCCTTTGCTCAAGAAGGGGGAGGAGGTGGGGCTGTGCATAGGCACAGCCCCTGAGAGCACTGGTTTTCATCCAATTCTTTTGACTTTGAAGCTGAACTTGTAAAAGAAAAGGACGCAGGTTTCCTTGGCTGGAGTCAGCGCCTCTCTCGCCAACGGGATGATTGCTATGATCACGCTCATGGCGGAGTGAGAGCGTAGCTAGGTGCTTAGTCCACGCTCCTGCCTTGGCTCTGACTCAGAAACAGAATGAACATGCAGAGGTCACCGAAGAGAGAGCTAGCACCTCCCCCGCTCCCCACCGGTCACTTATTAAAATGTGGCATTGGGCAGGAACCTGCAGAGGAGTGCTTCTGGTGACCAAGGCTCCATAGGGAAACACGGTTCCTACATTTAATGTAACAGACTATCACACGCACGTGGACCTCTGACCCACGATCAGCTGACAGAGCCAAGAATCCAACCCTCCAAGAGTTTTGTTTCCCAGAAGTCCCACTGTTCACCTTCTCAGAGACAGCGGATGAAAGAGACCCATTGTCCATGCCTCCTTGAAAAGTCCCTCCGTGCTGGACTCGAGACATCTCCGGGCTGCTTCCGCGGAGGGCGGGGTCCAGAGTCCCCCGGGGGCAAGGCGCTAGACTTGGAACTCAAACATGTCTGTCTGTTTCTTGGCCAGCTTGGCCACCTCTTCCCGGATGGCCTTGACGAGGGCCGCGGTAGAGATGTTGGTCAATGGCGTGTCGGACGGGTCGTTCTCGGCTAGGCTCTGCTGCGACGCTGCTGTTGAGGGCACTGGGGCCTGCTCCAGGCTGGGGTGCAGGTTGGATGGATGGCTGTACTGGCGAGGCAGCCTTGAGGGTGAGTTCTGCTGATAGCGGGACCGGGGGTAAGCTTCAATGTATCCTGGGAGGGGAACCTGCAGAGGATATTGGGGGAGAAGGGCCTGGCGTTAGGTAGGTGTTCAAGTCTCAAGATGTGCTCGGCGAGCCTGGAATCGGGAAAGAACGGTGGCGCGGTGTGTGTGTGTGTGTGTGTGTGTGTGTGTGCCGAGGAAAGACACTTGGAAGCCAATGAAAGAGCCCTGCACCATCCACTGTCCAGAAGCAGCACTCGTAATGAGTCTGTTGAGAAAATAGACATTTGGGACTCACTGGATATACTGGTTGAATGAATTAACTAGGTGTTTCAACCCTTGCTGAAAACCTTTAACACAGCGGTTCTCAACCTGTGGGTCACGACCCCTTTGGGGTCGACCGATCCTTTCACAGGGGTCACCCGATTCATCACAGTAGCAAAATGACAGTGATGAAGTAGCAATGCAAGTAATTTTGTGGTTGGTGGGGGTCACCACAACATGAGGAACTGTATGAAAGGGTCACAGCATTAGGAAGGTTGAGAACCACTGCTTTTGAAGACATCGGAGTTTATCTGTGTATCTTATTAATAAGCACAATTCAGCCAACAGAACGAGCATTTACAGGCCACAAAGGAACTCCGGGATGTATTATTAAGCACAATAGCGAACAGGCCTAATGCTAAGGTCTTTGCCCACATTACTTCACCTCATTCTCAAAGCAACAACCTGTGACATAGGTATTGTTGCCCTTATTTACAGATGAGGAAGTGGAGAGAGGGTGATATCATGTCACAGCCCAAGGGCCACCATTAGTAAGACTTTGAGGCCAGCCTGGGTCCCAGGAGAAGCCCCCATGGATGGCTTTTTGGAAGCAGATCACCACGTCTTTTTCTTTTGGTAGCTTTTTCGCTCTACACCACTCCTGGAGTCTCCGTGAGTTAGGGTCACTTGACTGCCTTTGGGACTAAGAAGCCCGTGTAGCAGCTGGTAGGTTCGCACTACTGACCCTGCACTTGGCAGTCTACAGCTGTAACTAAATCAACTGTTTAATTTTCAGGGCTCCTGGTTATCAGGTGCCTTCAAGTCGAATTTGACTCATAGCAACCACATGTGACAGATAGAACTGCCTCCTAGGGCCTTCTGGGCTGTGATCTCTCCACAGAGCACCAGGTCTGTCTCCTTCTGAGCCACTGGGTGGGTTTAAATCTGCAAACTTCTGGCTAGCTGCGAGGGGCTTCACTGTGATCCCACCCAGGCTCCTTCCTCCTGAGGACACCCTGCCTCATCTCTTTGAAGACGGCTGACATTAACCACCAGGTGGGTAGAAGGAGGTGGGGTCCAACCAGACTTAATCCCAGCCTCTCACCCCATTTCTTCCCTCAAGTATGAGAAGCAAGGGCCTCACCGAGTCGGCCCACTGGCCCGGGAGCTCGTTCTCCCCCGCGTAGGACATCCAGGCCTGGCTCCTGTAGGACGAGGGTGGCGTTGGGATGAAGTAGCCAGTGACGCCGGGTCTGTTGGCAGCCGGGATGGCAAACACTGCCGGCACCGTATTACCTGGCATGGTGGAGAGAAGGGGGCAGTTTAGGAGAGGTGCACCTCTGGGACCCAGCACTCAGAGGCTCCCAAATGTTGGCAGCATTTAGTTGAAATCTTGTAAAATCGAGTCTGAGTGGAGAGGGACTTTGTTGGGCTGAGGTCTGCGTTCATCTTGAGAAAGGGGAGTTTTCCTTAATTTCACAAACATGGACTGGTACTATTAGGACTTCCCCCATCCTCCCATCCCCCTAAAGAGGGAGCTATGGGCTTAGCTAGCATCCCACCCACCGGGCCTACATCTCTGTAAGGTGAAGCCAGGGAGAAAGGGGGGCGGGGGGCGGGGGGAGCAGCACGGGCCCCAGGTGGGGGGGTGAGAAGGTAAAGGCCTTGGGGGTGGACAGGACTTCAGATGTGACCCTCCGCCTGGAACCCCGCCCTGCTCACCTGACATTGGGTGGAGATGGCATCCACCGTGGCTCAGGCCAGACTTGGGTTACCTAAGTCTGGCCTTCTAGAGAAGCGGTGGCTCAGCTGCCTGAATCTCCCCAGCCCCTCGCCCCCACATCCCCGACCTGCTGGGTGGAGGGAACGGGGCTCTGCCCCAGGAGAACTAGGGAAAGAAAGCGCCAAAGAATGAACGTGGTCACGGTGGGTCTTTTGGACACAGGGAATGCTTTCATCATGTGGACTGCTGCCGCTTGTCTGGACGGGATTGTGGTAGTTACATAATCTGGTGTCAATTTGGGACTTGAGAGGATTAAAAGTGAAGGGGTGGAGTCTAGTCTGTCAATTGGGTCATAGCCAATGAGGCCTCTGTGTGGGCATGGTCTTCTCCTGAGAATTCTGGGAACTCCTGTATTTTCCTCCTTGGAGGAGAGACTTCTCTCTCTCTGCTGACTTCCTGTGAGACATCCCTGAGGAGAAGCCATGTGGACCTACCCTGATGCAGCCCTGGGTGCTGGAGCAGCCACGTGGAGACCCCTGCCAGCACTGAGATGTTTATAACACCACTGGATTCAAAGAATTTTCCACCCACTGGCCTGTGATTGTCCTGCGTTCAGCATCATTGCATGTGTTTCATGAGTCGGAAGAAGACTTCATCGACTGGTATTGGACATATGGGCTAAAATCAGATTGATTGGCTTGGACTGGACTGGGTTGGGATGCTTTCTTAATGTACAATTACCCTTTATATAAAAACTCTCTCTTAGACACATGTGAGTTTCTATGGGTTTGTTTCTCTCGTCCACCCAGACGAGCACAGGGGTGGTTTGAAGAAACTCAGAAGCGAAGCAGGCCATGCAGACAAGGGAACTGAGCTTGAGTCAAAGAGGAAGGAGAGGTACCGATACAAGCTGAGGCCCACAGACTGAGAGGACATGATGCTAAGTGAAAGCAGTCGGCATCCTAGGTCACGGATTGCACGCTTCTCTGGCTACGAAGCATGCAGAATAGGCTATCCACAGACAGAGCAGACGGTGGTTGCCACAGGGCAGGGGAGGGGCTAGGGGGCTGGTGACGGAATGGGGCGCAAAGGCTCAGTGGTGATGGGGTTTCTTTTTCTCACTCAACTCCCTGCCGTCCCGTCAAGTCTGACTCAGCAATCCTGTAGCGCAGAGGAGACCTGCCTCTGTGGGCGTCTGAGGTTGCACATCTTTATGGAAGCAGAAAGCCTCATCTTTCTCTTTCAGAGTGGCTAATGCCCTTGTGGTTAGCAGACCACCGTGTAACCCACCATGCCTGAATGCACTACATTTCATTAACTCTAGGGTGCTGTCAAAGAGCCCTCATGGCACAGAGATCATGCGTTGGACTGCGATCTTCAAGGTCAGCGGCTTGAAACCACCAACAGCTCCGTGGGAGAAAGACAGGGCCTTTTGTCTTGTAAAGAGCTACAGTGCTGGAAAACTCACAGGGGGCCAGTTCCACCCTTTCCCGAGGGTCACTTTGAGTCAGAATTGACTCGATGGCAGTGGGAAGGTGCCCTTGGTTGTAAAGCACACTGGCATGGTACAGACTACTAAGAATGACAGTGCCAAGTGAACCCAGGACTCACTGCTGGGTGCTATGGAGTAGACAAAGTACCCCAATGCGTGCAATAACTGATGAACTGCAATGCGTTCGGCTTGATGACAGATTTAACACTGTGTCAGCTTTCAAATCTTTTTAGCGAAATGACGCCAGTGGCTTGCTGGTCTCTGGGAGGGTGGGGGCTGTGGGGTGGAATGTGGAGTGTGTGGGGTGCCCTGGGGGTGGAAGGTAGGAGGAGCCCTCTGCAGAGTGGATTTGGGAAGTGGGGGGCAGGCGGCAGGGCGCCTGGGGTCCCCTCCGATTTGCCCAGCTCGCCGCTTGAGTTTACCCACCTGAGTAATTTAAAGCCGACTGATCCAACTGCGCCACGGACACAGGGCCTCGGGACACGTGGGTGAAGGAGGCGCTGTCGTGCAGGGGGGCCTGCTCCGGCCCGGCCATCTCGGCCATTCTGGTCTTGCTGCCGATATCCGAGGTGGATCTGGGCAGGGCACAGGGGCTATGTCAGGCTCTTCCCGAAGCCCACCCTGTGGGGGTGGCTGGGGCAGAAGCAGCAGTCTGGAAGCTCCTGCCAGTCCAAGAACAGCACCCCCTCCCAGCCCCACAGCCTTGGTGGGGGTCCTCAGGTTGGATTTGTCCCAAATCAACAAATCACGGCAGGAGGCGCCGGAGACATGAGCAGCCCTCCTGGTGGCCTTGGAGTCATTTTTAGATATTCAAGGTCAGCCCTCCCCTCAGGGTGGCTCCAGTGTCTCTGGGTCGCAGAACATTTAATTTCCACATAAAAATACGCAAAGCAATTAGTGCTAGGTATTAGCTGGGGATGGGCCACTTAGGACATCATCGGCAGCCAATGAAGGAGAAAGCTGGCTCTACCCCCACAGTAGAATGAACGATCCGGGAAGCTGGGGTCGCCGTCGCTGCTTCTAGGAGCAGGAGGCATGAAGGCCAAGGCTCTGGGAACCTCCGACGGCTCCCGGGACCAGCTTTTCGGACCTCCAGAACCAGCACGCCCTCTCCTCACAGGCCGAGAACCAGGCCCATCAACACCCGGTGTTCGGGTGCAGTGGATCTCTGAGAGAAAGCGGACATGCAGCTAGGGCGGCGGACCTCCGGAGTTCCCCACCTCCAAAGCGGGAGCCGCAGGCTCTGCCTTTCCATGCGGGCCTCACCCTTTCCCTGACCCGATCTCACAGAGGGGCCTGGGAGGGGCCCTGGGAGGGAGGCAAAGGCTGCAGAACTGGTGGGGCAGGCTGCCAGCCCTCGGGGCCACCCTCTGAGCGGAGAGTCCAAGTGCCCAGACTCATGGGGCCTGTCGCCCCCTTTTCAGAAGAAAAGCCTATTCGGTGCTCTCGGCAACACATGCTTGCGCTGCAGCCACACTGCGGGGCCAGTGCAGGCATCTGCGTTTGCAGCCCTCCTGGATCAGTCTCGTGGGCAGCATCACCCCCTCCCAGCGGGCGGCATCACCCACTTTGGGAAACACTGGGCCTTGACTACAGTCAGAGCCCAGAAGAGCCCCAGCTCTGGAGGCGGGGGGGGCGGGGGGAGGCAGGGGGCTGGGTTCCAGTGACCTGCTTTCTTAGAGCCTTGTCTTATTTCACACACAAGGAAGTGCGAGTGAGCTCATCTATCGGGGTCCTTGGTCTGAATCTCTGGGTTTCCAGGGAGGGCTGACATGGGTATGTGTTCTGCTGCAATCTGAAAGGTCGGTGGTTTGAAAGCACCAGCTGCTGCTCAGAGAAAGACACGGCTTTCTATTCCCGTCAAGAACAAGTCTCAGACACTCCCGGGGGCAGTCCTACCCTGTCCTACAGGGTCGCTGTGCGTCGGCATCGACTTGAGGGCCGTGGGAGTGGAGCTTGGAGCCCCGACCAGAGACCAGAGCCCCTGCTGTCATTCAGTTCCCGCTGACAGGGTGCCTCTCTAGGGTTCCAAGACTGTGAACCGTGAGGGGAGCAGGCAGCCTCGTCTTTCTAGTGCCTAGTGGCTGGTCGGTTTGAACCGCAGGCATCTTGTTTGACAGTACAATTCTTAACCCACAGTGCCACCAGGGATCCTTTAAACCATAACCTGAGAACCCTGATATTTGGCCAGGCTGTGAAAAGCTATGTAAGGAGAGGGGCGGGGGCGGGAGGTGGACAGAGGTTTAAAGGTTTGGCATGGGCCCCCCCCCTTTTCTTTCTCCATCCCTCCATCCCTTCCTCTGCAGCCTACCTGCTCCCCGAACCCTGGCCTCCCCTATTCTGGTTCAGAAAACTACTTCCAGAGGAATCGTGGGTTCTGGCTCTATACCCACCCCCGACGTTTCAAGAAATCCCAGAGCCTCTGTGATCGCCTTGTTTTCACAGATGAGAAAACCTGAAGTCCCACCGCAAGTTGCTGCAGGAGTGGGGACTGGAGCCCCGTTCGGCCAGAACAGTGGATGGCGTCTACATGCAGTTCCGCAGCCCCAGCTGGGGAGGAGGGCAGGCTCTTTTCTATGAGGAATCCACACGTTCCTCAATGGTCTCATAAAGCCCAGACCAGGATGCCCATTGACATGGGACTTGGTACTTGAGGTGTTGTGGGGAGGCCGGGGTGGGCTGGTGGGTCATGGCCCCTACACGCTGCAGCGCATAGCTCTTCCTCCCCACACCCTGCACATGACGACCATGGCTCCAACCGATGTCCATGCCCTTGGCATTTCTCTTCTATTTTCAGGAAATGTGCGCCTTCCGTCCTGGGACAGAGCTAAGCATATGCTTCGTAATGGGAAGACCTGTACCCTCTCAGCCTCAGGGGTCATGAGTTTGGGTGGGTGCTCAGACATGCTTCTCCCCGACCCCTGGACACCACCCTGAAAGAACACAGTGGCCCACCATGGAATCATTGTTTAGGTGTCTAACGTCAGCATGGAGGGTAATTGACCTTGGGCTTCATTCACTATGGACCCTAAAGAGCTCTCTGTTTCAAAAGACGAGAAGGTGGTCACCCCTGTGACTCCCATCCTCCTCGGTGCACCCTGCATGGGGCCGTCTGGACAGCCGATGAGGCTGTGGCAGAAGGGCAGGAAGGACCCTGGCTGGTGCCGCGTCCAAAGGTTCTGAACCTTTCCAAATAGCCCAAACGAAGCAAAGAAAGGACTGTGTTACCTACCGCCTGAGAGAAGTGACAGCCACAGGACCGGTCCGGGGAGGGACGGGCGGAGGGGGAGAGCCCATGACCATTTCGGGAAGCTGGGAGAATCTGTAGGCCTGTCGGAGAAGAGCAGATGGTGGGGGACGTTACAACCCGGATCCCGGTCACACGGAGGCTCTACTTTAAGGAGGCAGCAGGCGCCCAGGGATCAGACTTCCATTCCCTCTGCAGACGTTTTCTTAGCGCTTCCTCCATGTGCTCTCCAGGGACTTCTTCATAGCATCTCACACCGGTCTCCCCTTTGTTCACCCCACGGGGCCCCTGGGGGGACAGCGGCCCCAGGCTCAAAGTCACACAGCCCTTCCGTGGTGCTGGGCACTCGCTCGGTTCTCTCCTGCATGCAGAGGCTTGCTCCCTCTCCCAGCTCTGCACGCGACTTCCTCCTTCCTTCCATCCGCCCAGTCACATACTCCCCCGGCCCCTGTTTTATTTATCTTCCATCCGCACAACTGTCACTTGAACGTTATATTTTATTTATTAACTATCTGCCACCAACGACACTGTGGCGAGGGCAGACGTGGAGCAGTGCCTGGTGTGTAGCAGATGCTCAATAAATATGAGATGACTGACTGAGCCTTTGACTAGCAGGACGAGCAGAGAAAGAAAGAGACTTGGAGGCAAGATGTATGGGCAGAGGCCTCGGTCTACTGATGGACAGACTGAAGGTGACCACGCTGGACCTCAATGTCCTCTTTTGAGTTGAGGGCATCAGTACCTTCCTCAGGGAGGTACTAAGAAGATCAGGCCAGTCAGCGAACATGTCAAGTATTCTGCGATCTCTAAAGCACTGTTCATAGATAAGGGGTAGGCACCATCACAAAAGCAAAGGCTTTTATCAGCATGCGAGGAAATGAAAGGAAATGGACGGAGATGGCAGGATTAGAGAGCCAGGCCACAGCGCTGGTAGCAAGACAACATCTCGAAACACTCTCTGGGGTGACAGAGCTTCACTTGTGCTTCTCGTGGGTTTCTGCCTCTAGGCATCGTGTCGGCCAGAGCGCTCCAGGAGCAAGAGGGCCTTCACGCAAGGGCTTTCAGCCCCACGACCACAGAAGAAAAAGCAGCAGCACGGGGAATCCAAACATGGGATTTCTTAAAGTGAAACTGGGTCTTTCCCAAAGCATTATGGACAACGCACTGAATAGCCAATAGGTCCTGCCAGGAACACACCCTTTAAATGCGCTGTGAGAAACGCAAGACAGAAGGGCCAGTGCCAAGGAGCTTCTCCAGCCTCCTGCACACCGACCGCAGCAACTGCGGACAAAACGATGAGCTGACACCAGACGCGAGAGTAGGGAGTGGCAAGCAAATGTGAAAGGTGGGGCTGCCCACACGCCAAATGCCATGTGGGCACCCAGTAGGTCAGGGCAAGGTGGGGGAGCTGAATGTTGGCTCCTGGTTGGTAGCATTCCCAGGCTCAGGCAGCCACCATTGGCAGTCCCTTTGGAGGAGGGCACCTTGAAACTAGGCTCTCTGGGTTCCCACAGATTAAGATGGAGCAAATAGGAGCTCATCATCCAAGACGTATATGAGAGTCAGTAGGGAAACAATGAACAAGATACAAAGCAGGAAAGTAACCATGGAAGAAAGGGTTACAGAAGCGAGGGAGACAGGATGGAACTGAGGAGCTACACTCAGGGATGGTCCTGCAGATTTGAAAAGAGATCCAATGGATCTTTCAGAAGTGAAATATAACTGCTACCGTAAAATACTCACTCTAAAGGAGATCAGACACAGATGAAGGGAGAGTTAATAAACTGCAAAGTGAAACTGAAGAAATCACTAAGAAGGCGCTACAAAAGGAACAAGGAGATCAGAAGAGAAGGTACAGATAGGAGCACAGGATTTGCACTCCTTAATCCTCCCGGCCCAAAGCCAAACTCACGGCCATCGAGTCAGTGCTGACTCTCGTGACCCTGTGGCATCTGACACTGTACCTGTTCACAGGAGTGGACAGTCTAGCCTTCCTCCCGAGGAGCTGCTGGGGGTTTCAAACTGCCGACCACTCGGATTGCAGTTCCATGTGTAACCACGACCCCACCAGGGCTCCCAATCCTCCCAGCATTATGCAAACCCATGGACTAGGACTAGGGAGACTCAAGCTCTCCTCTTAATCCAACCATTCACTTTTGGTGGACAAGTCACTCAGCCCCTCCGAGTCTGTATCTTTCCTGGTCAAACACAACATCAGACTGGCTCAAGTGTTTCCAGACATTTCTTTGGCCATGGAATAATTCTGAGAGACCCATATGTTGACAGAATCCAGGGTACAGCAGAGCGCCCCAGGTTGGAGTTTGGAGGGCTGACCTGGGTGAAGTTGGTCCTTCATTTACCATTGGCATAGCCCCCTGGGACTCCATCGCACCCCAGAACCATAGATTTTGCAGACTACTTAAAAAGTACTATGTTGGATGTCCTGGCAACATTGCCTTCCATGGTTGTCTTTAAACACCTGTCCCTCAAAGAGAAAGGGGTTTATAGCGCCTCCTCTCTCTTCCGGCCTTTTTCGATATTCTGCAGAGGAGGCAGACAAACTGTTTTATCGCTGGTTCTTGGAAGGTGTACTCCTTGGCCAACACGGTCTCCTAGCCAAGAGAAGGTTTTCTATGTCCAGGCCTGTCCTCAGCAACAGAACCGATTAAAGCTCCGAGCTTCTGACAAGCACCAGGGAGAATTCCCTTCTCTGGAGGGGTTTCCCAGGTACAAAGTAAGTCCCCTTCAGGCTTTTTCCTTGGGTCCCCAGGCAGCCACAGAGGTCACATAGACCCAGAGACAGCCTGTGTCCTGTGCTTGTAGGCTGTGACTGGGGCCCCCACGCGATGCTGGTTGTGACCTCTGGTCTGCAGGCTCCTGTGGGTCTCATGTCTGGGCAGCCTTTGCATTTTGGTGCCTTTCTTATGTATTAAGGACCCCTGGTGGCACTGTCTGGTAACTGTTGGACTGTGAGAGTAGTGGTTTAAGCCCACCTGCTGCTCTGTAGGAGGAAGATGAGGCCGACTGCTTCCATGCCAATATCCGAAGTCTCAGAAACCCTATACTGGGTCGCTGTGAATCTATATTTGGAACCTGGCCTTCTGCTGGCTGCTTTTGCGACAGGGATCCTACAGGAAGTGCTTCCAACTTTTCCCAGGTTCCCAGAGACAGAGTACAGACAGAGCAAGAGAGCTCTAGAGAATGGGGGCAGGGGAGAAAAAGAGGGCCTAGAGGGGACTTAGTGGAATCCTGGTGGAGGAGTGGTTATCCATTGGGCTGCAATCTGCAAGGTCTGCAGTTCAAAACCACTAGCTTGGGAGGAAGACTGGAATTTCTACTCCCGTAAACAGTTAGTCTTGGGAACTCACGAGGGCAGTGCTATCCTGTCCTGTAAGGTTGCTATGCGTCAGCACCGACTCAGTGGCAGGGAGTTGCGTTTGGTTTTGTTTAGCGAGGACTTGCAACTTGCAAGCAGAAGCATGATACGGCTGAGGGGTGTCAGGACAAACAGCTGGAGACAAACTGGGAACAAGGACTCCTCAGGGAAAGCCACTGGAGTGGTAGATGAGGCTAGATACGGAGGCATCCCTCACCCCTCCACCTCCACCAAGCTTTGTGCCAGAAAACAAGCCTCACTCAGGACAGGGAGGGAGACCCTGAATGAACAGAAATAGAGGCTGAACTGGAGGAGAATACAGAGAGAGAAAAACAAAATAACGGGGACAATTTTTACCCCCTTGAGTTTGTAGAACTCCTCTCTGCTTGTGTGCACACCCTGTTGTTTGTACTCATACTGATGATTGGTGTCAGCTTAGAGGGTAAGTGTGGGCCAGATGTCAGGCACTCGGCTGATTTCCAAAGGTAAGTAGCCTGCACTCTGTCTGGCCCAGCTCTGGTGGGGGCAGTTCCCTTCAAGGACCCCTGAGAACTGGGCACTGCGCAGATGAGTACTGACTGGTGTGGACCATCCCCTGAGGCTCTAAACTTCATCACTCTGCCAGTGGCTTCTGTCCAGCCGGAAGTGGCAGACACTCACTGGTGACTGACAGTGGATGTCCCTCCCGCCCAGCGGGCCAGAGAGGGGTGCAGAGCAGACCCAGATGTGGCTTGGTGAAACAGGACAACAGAAACGTTTTCTGGAGCCCTGCGTTACGGAGAATGCACACTCAAGCTTGATACGCCTGCATGTGTTCTCACTAGCAAAAGTTTAGGGAAGGGCCTTTCTTTCAGCTTTGCTTTGAGGAGGAAGCCTGCAAGACCCTCAACTTCACCTGGATGAGGGGCAATGATAGGAACCGTCAGAATTCCCTCAAACTGGGTAAGTTTCTGTAGAGGACCACACTCCAGAGTTTTGGAGACTCGAGTTCCCATCGGAGGTGGAGGAGGTCCCTCTGGCTCCCCTCGACCAGGTGACCAGTTTGGTACAAAGCGGTGGCCTTTGAGTCAGATGGCTAAGGTCCAATCCCATATCTGCCACTCAATAGCACACACATGACTTCTCTATGCGCTTGTGTCCTCTCTCAGTAAAACCCAGAGGAGCCCACTCAGTTGCTGTGAGTCGATTTTGAGTCCCAGTGACCTCATGGCTGTGATCTCTTGGCAGTAGACTGCCAGGTTTTTCTTGGGACGTGCCTCTCAGTGGATTCGAACTGCCAACCTGTTGGTTAGTAGCTGAGTGCTTAAAAGTTTGTGCCACTCTGGGACGCCCCAATGAATACCTGGAGCTAACATTATTGAATTCCTAAGTGTGGCCGGTAGATCAGAAGAGCTATGGTCTACACAGCACTTAGCTCAGTGCCCAACTCTACAGTGGGTGGCTGTTGTTACTGGTGTTATTATTACTTTATTCCCATCTGGGAAGCCTCAAACTGGGGCAGATGTTTTAGCCCTGCCGCCTTGGACATCAACAGGTAGGCAGGGGTGGGGGGTGGGGGTGGGGTGTTTCTATTTCACTTGTCACAGGCCCATTAGAGCTGATCACAACATTGGATTGGTCATTAGCTGCCGAGTCGAATTTCTTCACAAATTCAAGGGCTGAAATACAATTATGCATCTCCTGAACTACAGTGCGGCCACCCCAAACTGCAGCAGGGGCCTTTGCCGGGACAGAAATGCCGTCAGCCTGCTTGAGTGCATTAAAGCCAGCAGCTTCCAATTATCCTCTGGCAGAGTTTGAGGCACTTTCTTCTGGGAAGACAGAAAGTGATCATCGTGATCATTCTAAATGGCCATGCTTCCCATTGATCTCCGCATTATAGGAGCAAGAAGAACAAGGGCTCAGGCTGGGGTTAAGAATCATTCCTATGGTGCATGGTTGGCTATTTTCTCCTTCCCAGAAAATAGAGACTACATGCATTGTTGACACAAGAGGAAACATTGCGAACAAAGGGATGGACTGTCTTGCCAGTTGTCCTGGTTTGACAACCCATCTCTCTCTTGTGCTTTTCCCAGTTTGAGTGGGCTCATTAAAACAAACAAACAAACAAACAAACAAAAAGGATGCTCATGTTTGGCCTTGGACCTAAGTGTCCTAGGGATGGGAAAGGAAAGGGCACCGGGTCATGAGTGGAGGACATGATGACAGCCCAGCACAAGTTATCTCCAAAGCCCAGGGTGGCTTATCACTAGCTGTCTGCTGGGAGATCCCATCAGGAGCCCTGGGGAGGCGCTGGCAGGTGGTGGGATGTGTGACTTACAGGTCGGGGGAGGCTGTACTGGTACATTTCTGGGCGGTAGGTTGGCACCCACTGCACCCCTGTCCTGGGCCGCGTCATGGTGCCGGGAGCGCTGGTCACCACCTCGGAGTAGGGCAGGTGCTGTGCAGAGCCGTAGGTCTCTTGGTGCCGGCTCTGGCCCCCGTGGCCGGCGGATGCCAGGCTGAAGGCCTCCTCCAGCAGCATGTGCATCTGCTGCCTGACCTCGTCGATGGAGGGCTGGGAGCTCAGCGTGGAGGTCTCCGAGTGGCCTTTCACTTGCCGGGCCCGGCCGTAGCCCCGGGGCTCGTTAATTCTGTCAATATTGGTTTCCTCTATGATTTCTGGCTCCGTCTGTGGGATCAAACAGAAGCCCAGAGATTGGTTAATTCACTTTCCTTCCCCTTAACGCCACTTGTAACATAGTCCACACTGTTTGGCACAGACTGGGTGATCTTTTTTTTAAATCGCTTTAGTAACTTTATTTATTTTTTATTTAAAAAAATCATTTTATTGGGGGCTCGTACAACTCTTATCACAATCCATCCATCCATCCATTGTGTCAAGCACATTTGTACATTTGTTGCCTTCATCATTCTCAAAACATTTGCTTTCTACTTGAGCCTTTGGTATCAGCGCCTCATTTTTCCCCCTCCCTCCTTGCTCCCCCCTTCTTCATGAACCCTTGATAATTTATAAATTAGTATTTTGTCATATCTTACACTGTCCAACATCTCACTTCACCCACTTTTCTGTTGTCCATCCCCCAGGGAAGAAGTTATATGTATATCCTTGTAATTGGTTCCCCTTTTCCACCCCACCCTCCTTTCACCCACCTGGTATCGCCACTCTCACCACTGGTCCTGAAGGGATAATCTTCCCTGGATTCTCTGTGCTTCCAGTTCCTATCTGTACCAGTGTCCATCATCTGGTCTAGCCAGATTTGTAAGGTAGAATTGGGATCATGACAGTGTGGGGGAAGGAAGCATTTAGGAACTAGAGGAAAGTTGTATGCTTCATCATGGCTACACTGCACCCTGACTGGCTTGTCTCCTCCCACAACCCTTCTGTAAGGGGATGTTCAATTGCCTACAGATGGGCTTTGGGTCTCCACTCCGCACTCCCTCTCATTCACAGTGATATGATTTTTTGTTTTTTGGTGCTTGATACCTGATCCCTTCAACACCTGGTGATCACAAAGGCTGGTGTGCTTCTTCCATGTGGGCTTTGTTGTTTCTCAGCTAGATGGCCACTTGTTTATGTTCAAGCCTTTAATACCCCAGGCACTATATCTTTTGATAGCCGGGCACTATCAGCTTTCTTCACCACGGTTGCTTCTGCACACATTTGTCTCCAGCGATTGTGTCATGAAGGTGAGCATCATGGAATGCCGGTTTAATAGAACAAAGTACACTGGGTGATCTTAGGCATCTCTCAGTTGACATCATATTAAGTTGAGTCCTGTCCTATTTAGGAATTATGATACAGGAGCGGTCAGCTAGCATCACATCCGGAAGGCTGCACACCAGTTCTGCATACTTCAGTTATCCAGAACTCCAGCCTTGCCACAGGCTTTGCTAATGAGCATGATCATGAGCGAGGGACTCTCACTGGTGAGGTTAATCATTTTCCTCAAAAATCTGTTAGAGACCATCCCCACCCTCACACCATTTGGCTATACATCTAGAATCCTGTAGCGGGGCTCTGGTGACGAAGTGGGTTGTGCGCTGGGCAACTAATTTCCAGGGCAGCAGTTCAAAGCCACCAGCATCTCCTCGGGAAGACAGATGAGGCATTCTGCTCCCATAAAGATTCACACCCTTGAAAACAAACCTACAGTGGCAGTTCTGTTCTGTCCTGTAGACTCACTGTGAGTCAAGACTGAGTGGATGGCAGTGAGGTTTGGGGGGCAGTATAAACCCAGATGGATGACACCCTGAAACCATGCTCTAAAGGCTCCATGCCCTACCAGTGGTTAGGGAGTACTAAAGGTTTGATGCCATTTATCACAGAGAGTAACAAAGTCTTGCAGCCCTGGTAGCACTCTGGGTTAGGAGCTGGACTGCTGCTTGTTAGATGAGTTCAAACCCATCAGCCGCTCTTTGGAAGAGAGAAGAGGCTGTCCACTCCTGTAAAGGGCCAGTCTCGGAAAACCTAGATAGCTTGCTATGAGGTGGCAAGGTCAGAAGTTTGACCACTTGCTGCTCCACCAGAGAGAGATGAGGTTTTCTACCTGCATGAAGAGCTGCAGTCTGGGAAACCCACTGGGCAGTTCTACCCTGTCCTCTAGAGTCACTGCGAGTTGGAATGGAGTCGATAGCAGTGAGTTGATTTTTTTTCTCTCTTTGACTTCGTCCTATAGGGTCACTATGACTCTGGATTGCCTTGACAGTGATGCATGTAGCTTTTTAATTCTTCTTGCTGCTGCTGTTGTTGTTAGATGCCATGAATTGGTCCCTACCCATAGCGACCCTACACACGACAGAAGGAAACACTGCCTGGTCCTGCACCATCCTTGCCCTTGCTCCTCTGGGCGAGCCCATGGTTGCAGCCACTGTGTCAATCCGTCTCCTTGAGGGGCTTCCTTCCTCTTTCTTTGCTGCCGCTCTACTTTACCAAACATGATACCCTTCTCCAGGGACTGGTCTCTCCGACATGTCTAATGTGTGTGAGACAATGTCTCGCCATCTTTGCCTCTAGGGAGCACTCTGGCTGTACTTCTGGCCACCACTTTTCTGTCAGTTTGTCCAACTGTGGTGGCTTGTGTGTTGCTGTGATGCTGGAAGCGATGTCACTGGTATCTCAAATGCAGCAGGGTCCCCCAGAGTGAACGGGTTTCAGGGGAGCTTGTGGACTAAGACCAGGTTACGAAGAAGGAAGCGCTCCCCCACGGCGGAGGATGTGGCTGCCGAAAACTCATGCAGAGCTTCAAAACGTTGATTCTTTAACCACCATAAAATACACCACTTTCACTTTTTAATAGGTAGGTGCATTTACTCCAATCCCAATCCTGGCTGTGAGTTGGATGTGTGTTTATCTGTGCATATACACAGCCATTTAAAATGCTTTCTGAATTTGGACCCTGATTTATTAAAAAAAAAACCCAAAAAACTCACCATCATCAAGTCACTGCCAACTCTCAGTGACCCTATAGGTGAGGTCGGAACTGCCCCTGTGGCTTTCCAAGACTGTAGCTATTTATGGGAGTAGAAAGCCCCGTCTTTCTCTCTGGTCAGCTTAGCAGCCCAGCGGGTAAGCGTCATGCCGCCAGGGCTTCCCCTGATTTATAAAGGGTGAATATCCTAATCTTGGGGTTCCATCTTAGCAGCTGCATGACCATGACCTTGGACAAGGTCACAGCTTAGGTTCTCCCAGAAGCAGAGGCCTACCACAGGGCAGATCAGGAGAGGGTCTACAAGAAGGAAGAAAAGCCAATCAATACGCATCCCTGAGTTTGTGGCAACCTTCTGAGGGACCCTCTGAGAGAGGTCACAGGATGAGCCTTAGAGCATCCTCTCATGCCTACGTTTGTCATGGGGGCAGGTGGGCTGAAATGGACCCCAGAGGGGTCCCATGTAACAGTGGCAGAGAAGTCTCAGGGCAAAAAAAAGCAAGCGCTATGGGGCTCCTAGGTTGAGGCAGTCAGGTGGGTGCTGTGCAGGGTTCGTTGCCACAGCAACAGTCAAATCTAAAAGGTGCATTAAGATGAAAGACTGAGCACCGAAGGACCCTTTGGGTCAGCGTGGAGGACCACATGGCCCATCCACATACTGGCCTGGATATGCATCAAGTCTACAGCCTTTTTAATGAGTTCTAGGGCAACGAATGCCACTTCAGACAGTCATTTTTCTTCACAATGGATAGAACATTCTGGAACTAACTTTCAGAGCCTGCAGGGGCTTAGGAGCCCATTTGATATAAGTCCCATTTAACTGATGAGGCGGTCGAGGCCGGAGAAGTTAGGTGATGTGGTCAGAGGTGAGCAGTGGTAGAGCCACCCAGCCGGTGCACACCCAGCTGCCTCTTCTGCTCCATCTTCAACGCTGGCTGCTGCTCACATTGTCCTTTCCCCTACATACAGAGTCCCCCTCATAAATAATGGATGCTGAAAGCTGCACTATGGCCAGCTGAGCTACAACCTTTCCCACCCTTCAGCCCAATCGTGCCTGCCAGTCACACGGGTGCAGCTGACACTGTGCTCTAAGCAGGGACAAGCAGGCTGCTTAGCAACATCTCCTCACTCTTCCACTCCCCCAGGGGCCCTGCAGTGGGACTGTGCTGAGACAGCTGTCGGGGTAAGTTTAGTGGGGAGAGGGGATGCCCTTGCTGGAGAGGCCGAGGCATTCTCCAACTCCATAGTCAAGGACTTCCATTGTTCCCATGGACACCCCAGTGCTGTTTATGCCTTTTGTCCGCATGCATCGGGCTGGCTTGACAGCAGCCAACCACGTAGCCCTCTGCCCCCCATGCCTTCCCCAGGGAAGCTGACCCCTGCTTTCCTCCGCACTGCATGAGGGTCTCCTCTTTCCTCTTCCCCTTTTGCTAGTGGTTTGTCAATCTTAGTAGTTCGCTCCAAGAACCAACCTCTGGTCTGGCTGCTTCTTCCCGTTGCCTCTGTTTTCTGCTTCCTTTGTTTCTGTCCTAGGCATCGTGTCTTCGGTTGGGCATAAGCGATGTCGCCGTTCTTCTTCTAATTGGTGGACGTGGGGCGTTAAGATGCTGATTTGGGTTTTCTTGGTTCTTTTCTGATCCGTTTATTGCTATACATTTCCCATTGCGCACTGCTCCCGTGGGTTCCTGTGAAGGTTGTGGTGTGTTGTTGGACAGCCACAGCCTGCCGTTTGTGTATAATTCTAGGGAATCATGGTTTCCCCCGGCAGAAGTACACCTTAATTGAGCTGCAAACGTGTTATCATGCGGGGTTCCCACACGTGCTGACACCTCTCTTCTGGGGAGGGCAAATGAAGCTGTCCTCTTGTAACATGAGCATGCTTAAAGGACACCCTCTCTCCCCAGGAGCTTCCGTCCCTGGCGTCAATTGCTTCATACACTTGTTGCAAGGAGTGGCTGATGGTGACGGGAGCCATAGAATCAGAGAGCCAGATCCGGCCTCCGGTCCCTTTTTACGATAGGCCCTGGCAGGCATGCTCAAGCCTTGTTCTAAAGACCGCGTGCTTTCCTCCAATTCCCACTGGGTCTTCAGTCTTTTGACACAGGTGGTAAAATGATGTGACTCTCCGCACACTTGCACTTGCTTATGAAATGCCCATCTTGCTTAAGAATGGAAGTGCCTTGAGCCCACCTCCCTCTGTCGCCCATGAGCCAACTGAGGCACGTGGCAGTCAGTAAAGCTT